CCAATATGTTCAATATGGTTGCTATTGGCAACCACTTTTAATTATCTGACTGCAATTATATTCAGCATATGGCTAAACTGTTGCATCCTTGCAAAGTTTGAGCTTCATAGCATTTTGATAGCTGCAGAAACTTCCAAGAAAATGTACTTAAGGGGCTGCTTATTGGAGCAGGGTGTTTATTATGTTGAATACGGTAGGCGATTTTGAGAGCAAGGCCAAAGTGCAAAGGTCAAAATTACAGAAACCATTTGATATATGTTTAGCCCAACTACTTACTACCCAGATGCTAAATTTCACTTCAGTAGCTGCCAAATTAGCAGACTAATGCCCTAGCTTGGATTTTCAATATGGCTGCTGTGGCGGCCATATGGAAAATCGGATCTGAACCTCTTGAACAAATCTAGGTGTCATCATTGCTCGAACATGCATGCCAAGTTCTAGCTCCATTGGCCCAGTAGTTTCGGAGAAACTGTTTAAACACGACAACAGACAAGCAGACCATGGCATAAGCCCACCGGACCTTTGGTCCAGGTGAGCTGAGAAAGGGCTAAATGACAATGTAATATTTGTACAACCTCAAGAATCCTTGGTATCTTTCTTGAAGGTTCTTGTCCTTCTTGTGCCTGGCTTGATTCTTGGGCTTCATTTCTAGAACAGCTCTTTCTTTTGACACTGTCACCTACCAAAGCACACAAAAACATCTAGAAAAGAATTCATGTCATGAATACTCCCCCTTCCCACTTAACACAAAACATTTTTCCCAATTCATCTGCCATGGGCCCTTCGTAAAAAATCCTAGATAAATCCTTGTCATAAGAATCATCAGTGAACAGATATTTTTACTAAACAAAACATAAAGAATCACACTGAATATGAAGTATTACATGTATCACTCAACACTGCTCAAAGATGCATCATCACATGATTGTGATAAAACATTATTTGACGAATCTGCAAAATTGTTGATTATAGTACTGAAGATTGGCAGAGGAAAGCTTTAGAAGGAAGTAATAGGTGTATTATTCCGAGATGACCATCTGCGACCATAATTTCACAGTTTAGAAACAATTTTTTAAACTGGATTGAAGAAAACAAAAAGTCCAAATTTTTAAACAAGAAACATTAAAGCAAAAAATTACATTATTTCTGCAAAATGCTGAAAATTTTACTGAACTGATTGTGTAGATTTAACATTGTTGAATTAATATTATGTACCTTTCTTCACTTGGGTCTTCTTTAGCTCCTTAATCACTTCTACATGTACCACTTGTACATCCTCAGAAGATTCAGGCAACTGAATGTTCTCTTGAAAAAGAAGAAGAAATCAGTTAGAATTTCAAGAATTTACAAGAACATACTGCCATAATGGATATCATGATAGTAACATTAGTTACTGAAAGGCCTAATTTTAAGAAAAATGACAATTTTGATTTTTTTAAAAATATCATTGTAAAATTAATATCCTATAATATTATCAAGTTTAAGCACAAATGGATAAGTTTCGAGGATGTCAAGTAATGACCATGTTAATGGAATACACACCTGCATGGTTGTTTGCCTCTTTTTCCTTCCTAATTCTCTCTACAACTGCTTCCGCCTCCTTCGCCAATTGCACTTTGTCATCTTGAAGAGAAAATAAAAGTAGATATAGTTCAAGAAATTTCTTTAAAATCAGGCCCTACTTCTATGACATCAGCTTGATCAAATATTTCCTACATAATATGTTACAGCTGATGAACTAAGCATGCCATTGTTTCACTGGCACCAAAGGGTTTGTATATAAACTGACAAGGTTACAATTTAAAATCCATAGTGAAACGATGTAGGCTTACACCAGTAACAAAAGTGCTATCCTGTAGGCAACCTTTTTCATTTTCTATATCAAATAGCAAGTGATGAATGATTTTTCAAAATATATAAATTACAGTAAGTATTCTTAGATGATTCTACACTTCATGCCAAACATCATCAGCCTACAGATTAAAAATGAAATTCACAGAAATCTAGACATTGCGTCATAAATGATATGCGTGAAAACATCTTGCCGAAGTTAAGCTGAATCTAAAGTCTTTAAATTATTCCTTTTTTTTGGTTAGCCTATTCCATTATTCGGCCCATTATTAAAGCCATGCTGAACGGCTTACAATTCCAAATTTCGACCCCGTATTTCAAGTACATAGAGTAGAATATAAAAACTAGTGAGTTTGTTTTACATACCTGACACCCGAATAATTTCCGCGGGGAAAAGCTTTCCACGATGTTTTGCCTGGACCCTGTCCCCTTGTTGGTATTCCCACGCCTCTCTCCTTGGCACAGTGATTGTGCTGACTGACTGGACGCTGAAAGCATCTTCCAGATACCACAACAAAGCTGCGTACTGTGGTTGTGAAGACATTCTTTCTTTGAGATTCGGGCGCGTTTTAATTGTGAAAAATACGAAATACTTTATCTATATCGTCGTGTCGAGAGCCTGGTCTATGGAACCGCCAAAACTTGAATATACCGGAAGTTGCGCAGGAGACTTTAGGTAATATTAGATCCGTGGTACCGTATCCAGGTTCCAGGGTACTTCTACCTGGAATATTGGCCCTGACATCCGGTTGCCGTTTATCATTTTTTTTCAACAAAAAAGACATAATTTTATCAAGTTGTTTCTAAATAAATATTCAAGAGTTATTTCAATACTTTTGATAATGAAATATTGGAATTATTTTGAAGACAAATATATTTTTGACACAACTCTTTACACTGCCTCCGATTGGAATCCTGCAAGTGCTCTGCCAGCGATGCCTCTACTGACCATGCAAGGAACTTTTACCAATCATCGCCCGCCATTTTCGTCGACAAAGAAGAAATCTGAGACGTTTTAGTACACACAAGAAATGCCGCTCATTAAATAGTCTTAGTGACAAGAAGAAATGCGAAAATGCAGCGAAACAAAGATCATTCCTACGTGAAAACGGACGTTGATGGACAAACGAAGTTTCAGTGCTTGTTGTGCAAACGTCTTCTGTCCACTAAACAAAATGTGATACGACACCTGCACACAGCTCATGAACTCAGTAAGTTTTTTTCTTTTAGATCCAGCATGTTTAATTCTGCACACCTAAACCTGGAAGCATTGATTTTCTTTGCCATTGGGGTATGACAGCATTCAAATCTCTTCTGATAAAACTTTTCGCGAAACCGCATTATCGGTAGTTCGAGAAGGGAGCTAACTCCGTTTTCCTAATCGAAAGTTCGAGGTGGGCCCACATTCGAAAGTTGGTTGGTTGGTTTGTTGTTTAACGCCGCACTCAGCAATATTCCAGCTATATGACGGCGGTCTGTAAATAATCGAGTCTAGACAAGACAATCCAGTGATTGATATCATCAGCATCGATCCACGCAATTGAGATCGATGACATGCATCAACCAAGTCAGCGAGCCTGACCACCCGATCACGTTAGTCGCCTTTTGTTTTACGACAAGGCGACTAACGGGATCGGGTGGTCAGACTCGAAAGTAAACGCATTTGTTGTTGAGAATTTATACTCCGTAAACAAACCCGCATACAAAATAAGATGGCAATACAGCAGAACTCACTTCTTCGAACATGGCCAAATTAGGTCGTAAGGTCATTAATATTCATGAGTTATTCCTTTTATGGAACAAGTTCTGGCAAACGTTTGAGGCTTGTATCATGTACGAGATCAATTCAAGTGTAGACATATTTTCAGGCTTATATCGCCACCAACACTTATGATTAGATTGATGTGTTATATTGGAAAAAGTAGAATGAGTGGTATTGCCTCTGTAAATTTAATTGTGAAGTAGATTTAAGTTTCTTGCTTGGTAGCTATTTTTGTAAAACTAGTGTGGTCAGCTATGAGCAGTTATTCAAACTTCAAAGACTTTTGTGCCTTTCATGGAATTAAGGTCTAACGAAATGATTTATAAAGATATTTCCCATCAATATTACAAATAATGAATAATATATGATGTCACATAATGACAAACGTGAGCCCACTAGCCTAAATGGCTTCGTCAACCTAATGAAACCCATCGATTTAAAAATGTGGGCCCACCTGTTTCGATCACTATAAGACGGGAACAATGTGGGCCCACATTTTAGAAAATGGTTATAAGTAAGCCAAGCTAATGAAGCTAGCGATTTTTTAATGTGGTCCCTCCTTTTGTAATCACTATGACGGAAGAACGTCTGCCCACATTTAGGGAATGATTATCAGAACTAACGAAACAAACGAAGCAAGGCGTAATACAAATGTGGGCCCACTTGTTTCGATCACCATAGATGACGGGAAAGATGTGGGCCCACATTTTAGAAAATGGTTATCACCACTAAACCAATCTTAGAAGATGTACGGATGGAAAACATAAATATATAATGCATTCAAACATTTAATTACGCATACGTTTTACCATAGGGATAAAGCTGGGCATTTAATAGCTTGACCAACAACGTACAGCGTGGGTGACGCCATAACTTGCAAATACGAAAACAACGGAGATAGCTCCCGTTTGAAATTAGAGTGACCTCCCTTTCCCAATATGAACCACTGATAATGCGGTTTCGCCAAAGTTTTTAAATAATATCTGGCTTATGACATGGTTACAATTTACAAGGCATATCTGAAAAGTTGCCATCAAAATAAGGGACGCCAGTGATTACAGATAGCCGGAAGTGTCAGGTAACATCGTGTACAGTTGTAAAACAACAGAAATGTTTGATTTTATAATTATTCTGTGTACGTGACTCATCATGCTCATACCTCAAAACGGCAACCATATTAAATAAGTAGGTCTGAATTTACCCATTGGACTGAGTGTGCAGTTTATGTTATTGATTTTGCCGTCAAGTTTTAAACCAGGTGGTCACAAGGGCCTTGGTTAGCAGCAGTGACATGACATTGTACTTTTTAATGTTGTCATTTATAAATACCAAGTAAACATGTACAGGCATAGTTTAAATAATTTTAAATTGCATTTAGTATTTAATCATGTTAGGTCCAGTGAAAAGAATTAAGAAGAGATACTTGGATGATCCAGATGTCGGTGTTCCTCAACGCACAGCAGCAAGATGGAAGAACAAGAACATGCTTGAGGTTTCCCAAGCTTCCACATCGGATGATGTACTTCTTGAATCCAACATTATCTCGGGTGGTGATGTGTTTGATCATATGGATGGACATGATGAAGCTTCAGCATTGACTCAAACGGATTCAGTTGGTATGTTATTGTTTTTACCTGTCAGCTATGTTTGTATGAATTTTTAAATGTAAGTTTTCTGATGGCTTGGATGCATTTGGGAGCCATTCGGAAATATAAATAACTGTCTGATTTAGGCAGCTCTGACAATTCTGTCAGAAGCTTGGTGATTTGTTAATGGTTATAGGAAAGGTCCCTCTGATGCGACCCATATGATAATGGTCTAACTTTGGTGGCTGGACCATCCACATTTAGCATGTTTTGTTGATCTGGTAACAGATGAGATGTATACTTTATGACTCCATTCTTCTCTTATTCAGGTGTTGATGTTCTTGATCATACAGATGAACATGATGGACAAGATGAAGCATCAACATTGGCTCAGAGAGTGTCAGTTGGTAAGTTTTTGGAGTATTAGGATTGCAAAGGAAACAATCCAAACTATTTTAAATGTTCTTGTTTATTCTGTAGTAACTCAGCAGCACAGTGCTTCAGGTAATATTTTCAACCAATTGTACTCATTTTCATTAGGTTTGTTTGGTATTTCATAAGGTGCTCATTTTGAGCCCAACTGGCCATGGGCAATGCCCAGGAAGGCTTATTCCATATATCAAAGATTTATCCATTACATTAACTTCTCAAACAAGACTGACAAGCTAGGGTGTTGACAGGGACGTGGAACGGAAACTGCTTAATAAATGTGTTTGCCTGATTTTGACCGCTGCCGCCGATTCGTCTTTTGGCTATAACTTCATAAGGTGACTTCTATAGGATATCAAACTTTGGACGCCCCCTATATACCCCTGGGAAAACATTTACACTAGGTGGGGCAGATCTCAAAGGTCAAGGTCACTGTATGCAAATGACCACTCAGAAATCCTATGCGGGACGATTTTTCGCAAACTTTGCATTCTTCCCCTTTTGGTCAAACAGTTAATTTTTCCCAATGCAACTGCCATAGGCCACGGTTGGATTTTCCCAGATAAAACACTTTGTTAAAAGTTTCTGCCAACTGAGATAATTGCTTAAGATTTGAATCTTTTATTTTCAGTTACTGACAGTGTATCTGAAGACAGCTACTCAATGGACTACAACTGTGCATCAAGTAGCGAGTTTGTGTCAAGTGACGAAGAAACTGTGTCCTTTGAATCAGATGATACTGATGAGACAAGTAGTGACTCCGATGCTAGTAGAACTGACACAGTTGACCTCTTGTGTACTGATTCTAATCTTTCAATTCAAGAGATACAGGCTGTGAAACTACTTTCATGTTTCTTAAGGAATAACCTGTCTGCTAGCACATGTAAGGATATTATAGTCACCTTGAGAGAAGTTTATCCAGAATCAGCATCTATTCAGAAACTAACTTATGAAAATATCTGGAAATTTGTTGATGATTCCAAAATGAAGGAATGTCATTACTGCGTTCTTTGCAGCCAAGTTTTTCCTGACAATGAAGACTTTTTTGCCTGTGAAAGAGAGCAATGTGATGGCCTCCGATATAAAGGTCCTTTTTCAGCACAAATGAAAAAGGGACGTCAACCCAGACAGAGTTTTGTTTTTGCTGATGTGAAGACACAGCTGTCAAGCCTTCTTCAGAGTCCAGGTAATTGAAGTTTCTTGTATGAGAAAACAAGTAAAATAATGGAAACAATTCTTCAAAACTAATCCATTTAATGATATTACAACAGCAGTCCTTTGATAAAGCTTCTTGATTTTTTTAGCTCATCTGCCCAAAGGGCAAGTGAGCTTAAGTCAGGGCCTGTTTGTCTGTTGTCACCCGTCATAGTCAGCAATGTCGGCATGTGTAAACAATACTTTCTCTGAAACTACTGGGCCGATGAAGCTGAAACTTAGCATGCATGCTCCCACCCATGAGGCCGTTCCAGTTCAATTTTCAAACTCAAGTCATTAGTCGGCCAGTATGCAGATAATGAAGTGAAATTTAGCTGCAGCTCACCTGGAATAGCTTGCATTATGATACTGAAAAGAACAAATTGATAAAACCTATTTTAAATCAGTGGATGTTGGTATTATATTATATCTGCAGCATAGAGTTGCTCTTATTACCCTTGCAAAGTCTCAGCTTCACAGCTGCAGACATCACTGAGAACATGGAGTATGATTTGACCATTGTATTTTGCTTGACTCCCCCAGTCATTGTATGTATTGAAATATGGAATTTTTCTTGGAAATTTCTGCAGCAGTCAAGCTGAACTTTGCAAGGATATTAGTTTGCACTAAAGATTTTGTTGTGATCAGGGAATTCAAAATGGTTGCCATATCAAGCACGTTGAGAAAGATATTTTTGACCCTTACACTGCCATTTTGGCAGATAATGATATTTAATTTGGTACATGTACATGGTGACTATTGGTGAGAAGTAACAGATGTCTGATGGTGCTTGCGTTATTTTTAATTAGACCTTCATTTGACTTGAAGACATTGTTAATGTAATCAAAATCGCATATAATGCAATATATGGAAATGTAATATTTAAGTCAAAGCAGGTGAGCTCTAGTGTCGTGGCACTTTTTTTTAGTTATACCCATGGAAATATAAGACATTATCGAAAGGCTGTTGCAAGATTGAAAATATGGAAGCTGTAAAATTTGTTCATTTCAGGATTAAGTGTATGTTTTGTAATACTGGTTTCCAGATTCTTTTGTCTTTCAAGTAAAACACCTCAAATTTCACCAAAATAACTTATATTGGCTAATAGCTATAGTAAAATAGCTGTGTAATTTGCTGCAGCGTGCAAAGATAATACCCTGACAAGAACTCATAAGGTTTAAAAGCATCTTTAATGAGGTTTGACTGAGTGTCTTTATATAATCCTTTATAAAAGTTATTAGCTGAATGTTAACTTTAGGATTTCTTTCTTCAGGTATTTGGAAAGATATACAAGAAAGGAAGAAGACTCTAGCAGAAAGATGTGATGACATTCTGCGAGACATTACTGATGGGAGAGCTTATCGCAGATTGCAAGATGAGGGACAATTCCTCTCCGATCCAAACAGCTTGACAGCAGTCCTAAATACAGATGGAGTGAACCTGTACACATCTTCGAAAATAGAGTTATGGCCAATATTTCTTTCTGTAAATGAAATGACACCATCACTTAGATTTGCACGTGATAACATGCTCCTTGTTGGGATATGGCAAGGCAAAGGCAAACCTCCATTCCAACCCTACATTCATCTTCTATCCAAGCAACTCAATCCTCTCTATGAAGAAGGCATACAACTGAGCACAACAGCAGAGGAATGGATTCCTATCAAGTTATCTGTTGTATGTGGTATATTTGACCTTCCTGCCAAAGCTGGGATTCTGAATATGACCTACTACAATGGGACAGAAGCTTGCATAACTTGTGAAGAACCAGGTGTGGTTGTGCAGCAAGGAAGAGGACACTCAAGGTGTTATCCTTTCAGACCTGAGCATGAGAAGCACCCTTTCAGGAATGATACAGATGTTAGATTGTCGATGGAGAGAGGCACAGAAAGAAGGCGAAGTAAAGGATTCAAGGGAAAGTCAGGTTTGCTGTCATTGAAAGGATTTGACTTAGTCATTGGTGTTGTGCCAGACTATATGCATGGGGTGCTGTTAGGAGTGACAAAAACCCTGATGTATAAGTGGTTTTCATCTACAGAAAGTAGAAATCCTTTCTTTGTTGGCAATAAGTTAAAAGAAATTTCCAGTCGACTGCAAAGTATCAAACCAATTGAATGTATTGAGCGACTGCCAAGAGATATAGAGAAACATTATAGCAACTTCAAGGCTACAGAACTACAAGCGTGGTTGTTATACTATGCAGTCCCTTGTTTGCTTGACATACTGCCAGATGTGTACCTGAAACATTTTGCATCCTTATCAGAAGCTGTGATTTTGCTGTTGGGTGAACAGATAACACATGAAAGCCTATGTAGAGCCAGGTGCCTCCTGGAGTCTTTTTACAAGAAGTTTGGTGACTTGTATCCCCCCGGTTCATGTGGCCTTAATGTTCACAACATTGGAGAACATCTGTGCTTCTACGTTAAAGAGTGGGGTCCTATGTGGGCCTGGAGTTGCTTTGCATTTGAAGATGCCAATGCAATGCTACTTCAGTCAGTTCATGGGACAGGGAATGTCCTGAAGCAAGTTATGAGGGCACGACAAGCAAGGGTATTTTTACGTACACTTGACATCACCCAAGGTGAATGTTCAAAATGGAAGAAGTTGCAGGATGCTGCAAACTGTTCAATGGCTGGTTCACTTCAACCCGTTGCTGAAGATGACCTTACTGAAGAGATATTCAGAAGATTACCAGTGACCAACCTGAGAGAAGTGAAGAAAGTTTCAAGAGTTTTGAATGCTGATGGGAAACGACTGTATGCAGAAGCATATACAAGGATGCAAAAAAGGGACTGCAGTGTTGTACTTCTTCAAGATGGAAGCGTGGCATCGATCAAGTACTTTGCACTTTGTCTACATTCAAATGTTGTGTATGCCATCTTAAATTTATACAAAATTGAAGGACGGAATGTAGTTCATGGTTTTCCTTCTGGACTGCACATAATACCAGTCAGTAGAACCAGAGCAACTGATTGTGTCCTTGTTGAACAGATTGTAGAACGGTTGATCTTGATCAGCACAAATGCTGACAGTACACACAATTTATTTGTTGCTAGGCTCCCAAACATTCATGGACACTCCATATTTAAATAAATATCCATCATTTTCTGGACATTAGTTAGCCTACATTGCGGATGTCAGGGAGAACAGTTACTGTAACTGTAGTTTTGTCTGCATTAATTTAGTTAAGAGGCTGATATGACTGATGGTTATTTTTCATAGTTTATTTGCCATTTCTACATTTACAGTGGATGTAGTTTGATACTTTTACAGGGATAATAAGCACTGAGTGCTTTATTCAGTCACAATATTAAAATTAAATAATCAGTAATAATGGAAGTGATTCACATGATGAATACATATTATAGTTCACTACTTGATATTTTGTTTTCATCTCTTAGTTCCTAATCTTAGACACAATAAGATTTCACCTTTGTAAAGCCAAACAATTAGAAGGATAAGTATTACTTTTTTCTCTCATTGTGTTTTCCTACAGGTCATAAAACATGCGAAACATCAAAATACTTTGATGAATAGTGTCTGTCTGTTGAAAGTAATATGGAACTGCTATTCATTAGGAGAGGTTTATTATGACTTAAGTAACAATATATTGATGGCGAAAATGCAAATACAAGTAATTGTAAATTTAGATATGAAATGTTTAAGTATGAACACCATGTTTACATAAAAGTCTTATAAAAATTCCTTGAAATTCACAGTTTTGTTTCACTTAAGGTCAAGAAGTGAGGTCACGAATAGTTCATGAAATGAGTTCACGAACATTTGGTGAATCCAGTAGTTCATGAACTTCAATTATTTCATGAAGTGTATTTAATGTTCGTGAAAAGTTCGTGAACAAAGGTTCATGAACTAGGTGCGTGAACTATTGACGAACAGTTCATGAAAATTTCACGAAGGCTTCACGAACTGTTCATGAACTTTTCGTGAACTCCACTGACTTCGTGAAATATTTTCGCCGGGGTGGTTGTTTTGTTTTCGTTTCGCTACAACCTGGTCTGTATGTAAATGAAAGCCACAGAACCATTTCATAATCACACAAAATCTTTACTAAAAGCAGAATTGATTGTATGTATTTAGTGATTCATAAACACATGCTTTTGATATGGTCCGAAATATGAAATGGACTCTTCTTTTAGTAGAGATTTCTTATGATAATGGAATTGATTTTGTTGCTGTTATTTACATTCAAGTCATCAACACATCAGGGTCCCTCCACATTGTAATTTCGACGGTGGAGGGAGTTCCATGAAGGTGTGTCGATGACTTGACATCACCTCAGGGGTCCCTCCACGTTGTAATTTCGACCGTGGAGGGAGTCCCATAAAGGGGTGATGACAATAACTTGAATGATCCAGGTCTCCTCCACAATGTAATTTCAATGGCGTAGTAAGTCTCTTCCCACCTGTCTCAGTTTCTACCAGCTGCCTTCCTCAGTTGCAACCAGCCACCGCCTCAGTTGCCACAGTCTCAGTTGCTGCCTCAGTTGCCACCAGCTTCAGTTGCCACCAGCTTCAGTTGCCACAGCCTAAGTTGCCTCCAGCTTCAGTTGCTCCTAGCTGCCGGTCTAAGTTGGAGCCAGCCTTAGTTGCATCCAGCCTTAGTTGCAGCCTACCTTAGTTGCCACCTGCATCAGTTGCCACCAGCCTAAGTTGCTGCCAGCCTTAGTTGCAGCCTGCCTTAGTTGCCACCTGCATCAGTTGCCACCAGCCTAAGTTGCTGCAGCCTTAGTTGCAGCCTGCCTTAGTTACCACTTGCCTCAGTTGCCACCGCCCTCAGTTGCTCCCAGCTGCCAGCCTAAGTTGGAGCCAGCCTTAGTTGCTGCCAGCCTTAGTTGCAGCCTGCCTTAGTTGCCACCTGCATCAGTTGCCACCAGCCTCAGTTGCCACAGTCTCAGTTGCTGCCTGCCAGCTGCCTCAATTGCAACCGGCCTCAGTTGCCACTTGCCTCAGTTGCCACCAGCTTCAGTTGCCACAGCCTAAGTTGCCTCCAGCTTCAGTTGCTGCCTCAGTTGCCACTTGCCTCAGTTTCCACCTTCCTCAGTTGCTCACAGCTGCCAGCCTTAGTTGGAGCCAGCCTAAGTTGCATCCAGCCTTAGTTGCATCCAGCCTTAGTTGCAGCCTGCCTCAGTTGCCATCTGCCTTGGTTGCCACCGGCCTCAGTTGCAACCAGACTCTGTTGTCACCAGCATCAGTTACCACTAGCCTCAGATCCCAGCCACCGCCTCAGCCACCACCATCGGGAACCACGTCAGCCTGGTGTTACCTTTCCACATGCAGTAAGTAAAACTGAAGATATAAACAAATAATTTGTTCTATAGTCATATATAGTCATGTTATATCCTTTAGTGTATAACCTTATAGTTTCTACTCTATATTTTAATTGAACAAATGTCATGTTGGTGCCTGCATTTCATTGGTATTCGTCCGTCAACTATCCAACAAAACTTCAAAGAGGGTTACACACACATGTAAATTGATCGGCATGTTATGGAAGTTATTGAATACATTCTTAAATTGACAAAATGCTGTTTCCTCGTCAGGTGTGATGACAGGTTACCTTCTCCATCATCTGTGCCAGTTACACTGCTTCATGTGCAGGATTTGACACCCTCTGATATACTCACCATATTCGTGATCAAGTAATCTGGGTAAGTGTAGATGTAAACAGTTTCATTTTAACTTGGACAAGATACATTATATCTTCCTGAGGAAAGTGAGTTAACTGACTATAAAAGTCAAGTTTCCACCCTTGCCAAACTAGGCTGGAAATTCGTGGCTTGATTGTGGACCACCGGTTGCAGTTACGAGTTATGTCTCTTCTATGTCTCTCATATTGACCAATCAGATTCCACCTCTCCTTTCACTTCCATTTTCTTCAAACAAAATGACTGCGCCCAGTCCAGACAATCTGACCGCTAATCACGATCTTTATTGTTATAAAATGGGTCTTACCTTGCAGAGTACATCAAATCACTTGAGCACCTTGATTAAAAACCTGAGACATGGAAAACATCTATTGATGGCCAGTTGAAAGTATACAAGCTCTGCAAATCCTGCAATCAACTGAAATCTGCAAGGTCGTCACCATGTTGTTTATGAACAAAATGTTGATTTCGTTCCACAATTTTGATTGGACTATACTTAGTCTCGTTAGTCCAGCCAAAGTACAAGTCCATAATTCCAGCCTAGTTTGGCAAGTGTGGAAACTGGACTTTATTTTGGGAAGATGGATACATTGTCCTATCACCAAACTGAACAAAGTATTTAGGAAATCTGCGCATCTCCCGCAAAAGTAAAAGATTACAACTGAACATGCTGGTGTTTTCAGGATCTGGTTTTGTGTGTAACGATCATCCACTTCCAAGTCCCTGATGGTGTCCATGTGTACCTCCTGATAACTCGGCAGCTTTGAGGTGTTGAGGGGTGTTTTATGTTTCATGGCTCATATTCCTACTATAAACACCCGCTAACACCTTCTAGTTGAAGGATGACTCAGTTGTGTTCACAAGCATCTTCTCGGCATCTTCCTGAAGCAAAGGAGTTTAGTGAATTTTTTTTAAAATGGGAAAACTCCAGTTTCCACCTTTGCTGAACTAGGCTGGAATTATGGAGTTGGTGACACCATGTTCGAGGCACGAATTTCCGGCCTAGTTCGGCAAGCAAAATGCAATGTATCTGGTCCAAGTTAACATGAAACTGTTTATATCTACACCTACTCAGATTACTTGATCACGGATATGGTGAGTATATCAGACGATGTCAATTCCTGCACATGAAGCAGTGTAATTGGCAGAGATGATGGAGAAGGTAACCTGTCATCACACCTGACGAGGAAACAGCATTTTGTTAATTTAAGAATGTATTCAATAACTTCCATAACATGCCGGTCAGTTCACATGTGTGTGAGACCCTCTTTGAAGTTTTGTTGGATAGTGGATGGACGAATACCAATGAAATGTAGGCACCAACATAAAAGCTGTTCAAGTGAGATATAGAGTAGAAACCTTGGATATCATACATAAAAATTGGTTCCTATAGTGTTAATGATTCGTTTATACCTTCTCTAAAGTAGGGTCAAATAGGTATCAAAAGGAATCACACGCCTCATGGAAGTTGCCATTTGTTGTCTAAAAATAGGATTTACAAAAACTTATAATCAACAGGAATCAGGTAATCACGAAACGGAATCCGAACCAAGGCACTTTAAAAACTTTCTAACAGCCACCCCCAAATTTTGTTACAAATTTGAGGTGCAAAGTCATTTGACTTTATCTATTGTGTGATACATCAGTTAACATAAACAGTGAATTGTTGTCAAGGTTTGGAAGTTTGACGAGTCTTGACACGGGTCTGGTGTACTCCTTATCATCAACCCGAAATTTTGCTGTTCGAACTCTACCATCCGCGCTCACACAAGTCTCAACTACACGACCAACCGATCGTTGAGCCCGAATCTGCTGAGGGTCAACGATTTGCACCATACCATCATCACACAAGTCACTTCTTCTGGTTCTCCATTTTTGTCGAATTTGAAGAGTGGGCAAATAGTACCTCAAATATCTCTTCCAGAACTTATCAGCAATCACCTGACTGTGCCGCCAGCGTGTGGGGTCAAGCCTCCCAACAAGGAGGGAGTTTGGTGTCACAGGATCAAGGTCAGCCACATCGGTCGGGACATAACCTAGAGATTTTGAGTTCATTATGGCTTCAACTCTTATAAGAACAGTTTGCAGGACTGGCTCTGCCACTGACTGATCTCCGAGGACAACTCTAAGGCCGTGTTAAATAGACTTTATTTCACTCTCCCAGCAGCCACCAAAGTGAGGTGCATAAGGTGGATTATACTTGAAGCGTATCTTCTGCTTGGTCAACTGCTGAGCAATCTCAGGGCTCATTGAGGTAAATGCTTCAGTCAACTCAAGGTCACCATCCTTGAAATTGGTACCAAAATCTGAAAGTATTTCATAGGGTTTCCCTCTGTGGGCTATGAATTGTCTCAAAGACATGAGAAAATCATCACTGTCCATACTCTCCAGCAGATCCAGGTGAACTGCCCTGGTTGTGAGACACTTGAAGAGTTCCCCATCGCTTTTCTCTTCTGCAGCCAATCTAGACCCACATTGGTCCAAAAAAAAACAAGCCCGTCGAGTAGAATGCGGGTTTGTATGTA